ATGCGGTCACCATTGGTCTCCATCTGGTGGGAAGACTTCTGATGATCTTCTTGACATGATCTGACGTTGAGTAGCCCTTGTCCAGAACTTTCAGACCAGCTGTAAGAATCTGAAATCTAGAAAACATAGTTTCTACATTTTCAGACTCTTCCATTTTAAATGCCTCATACTTCTGTATGAGCGCCAGAGCCTTGGTCTCTTTAACCTGAGAGTTTCCCTCATGAGTCATTTTGAGTGACTCAAACATGTCATGAGCAGTATCTCTGTTAGTAATCTTCTCATACTCAGTATGAGAGATTGCATTAAGCAATATAGTTTTGGCTTTGTGGTGATTCTTGAAATCTCTTTTCTGTACTTCAGTCATTGATTTTCTATCAATCTTTTTGCCATCCTCACCAGTAGGATGTTCATATCCATCAATGACCATATCCCAAAGATCAGCATCATACCCAAGGAAAAAACTCTCTATTCTATCTTTCCAATAGTCAAATTTTTCCCCATCAAACATGGGTGGCTTAGTACTGATCCTATCTCCTTCATATTTGTTGTTGTAAGTTGATGTAGAAGTATTATCCATATTGACAACCAAATAAATATCAAAGTATCTTTCTCACTGGATCTTTAACTGTCACGGTTAAGTGGAGCACACGCAGAACCGGAGCTCTGATGCCAACTGAAGGTGAGAAAATTACTTAGAAGGGGGGGGGGGGGGGGGGGGGTTGAATAAGTAAGACTAAAAATCAAAGATAAAAACACGGATATTTTTATCCTGGTTCGTTGAATACAACTACTCCAGTCCACCCTCTCAAGAGTGATTTGCCTTTCTCTGTCAAGGACTTAATCCACTATTTAATCAAAACAGATTACAATAGCAACACCTAAGAACAACTGTTCTTAGTCTTCTCAAGAGCAACTGATCCCAACTGGATCCTCTTAAGGAAAACCTTTTACAAACAATGTAAAACTTTTACAAGAGTATGAATGCTTCTAATAAGCTGTTATCACAACTGTGATATTTCTCTTAAGTTAAGAATAATGTTATAGCAAAATAAAATAATAAGAGCTTTGAGAGATTTGCTTTGATGAGTGATTTTGCTAGAAATTCGATACTGAAGAAGATGGAGTGGACTTCTTTAAATAGGCACTTAAATCCATGAAGTCTTGTTTACGTTGAAGGCTGTGCAGAAAAGCCTGAAGCCTTTTGTCTTTACATTGGAGGCTGTGCTGAAACAAGCCTGATGCCTTTTGTCTTCACTTTGCAGAAACTTTCCTTAGAATGGAATGCACAGATAAAACCTTTTTGTCTGTGTCCTTGTGTCTAGCACAAAAGAGGAAAGAGCTGTTGAGATAAGCCAACGTACATATTTAAATCTTCTTCACAAAGTAAGTTCAGCTTTCAACATTAGAATCTGAATCTTCAGAGTCTCCAGAGTAGAGATCTTCTGGATCTTCAGAGTCTTGGATGTTCTTCAGATTGAGCTGAATCAGAGTATGTGCAGCTTGTGTGCTTGAGCGTGTAAATCTATCAGAGCAGAGTCTTCTATGCTTTAGAGGCTCCTGCTTCAGAATCTTTAAGAGACAGAAATCAGATTCTTCTGGGAGCAGCGTTCAGATCTTCACTTAAGATGCTCTTGAACCTATGAGACCTTGCATAATCACATTGTTCAGATCCAAATTTGCTTTCTTAAGAGTATTTTCTTTAGTACCTGTAGCAAACAGTCTAGAACAAATTTAGAGTATATAATTCTTGAATACAAAATTCATAAGTGTTATCATCAAAACATAGAGATATAACTAAGAAACAATCTGTGTTCTTACATACACATGAGAAGAAGGAGGTAAACCCCCAAATAACTTATCTTGCAAGGACTTTATGCTCTAGACTAACACTTATCAGTTAACCCACTTGGATGCAATAGGGGTTTAATATACCTTGAACAATGGTAGATCGAGGAATGCCTATGTTACCTTTATATTAGATCGAGCAATTTGTAATGGGCGTTGGTTGAATCATTAGAGTCACATCACTTGTTTCACCTGGACTATACATTGCTCAAATCATCATCTGATTATCTTTAACCCATATCACACCAGGTACAATAGTCGTTACTCCTTCAAATTCTACAAGACTTGGTCTTCCCATAATAACTACCACTTGGTTATTGAGAGCAATTAGACCAAGTCGACTGATGGGAATCTAATATAGAGAATTATGTCTAAAGTTCAATGTATTCGGGTAGAATTGCGGCAATGAAGAAAGACAATTTGCTAATGTGAATAACCAAGTGGAAAGAGCCTTAAAGGAGATTCGACTTATCCAAATTCTTATGGATAACACATTTTAATGAGTATCTGCATGATCAAAATATTCAATCCCAAATTAATCGTAATGTTGCATTGAACATTTGAAATCAGTTTTGAGAGGAAAAGGCTAGACTTAATAGATTTGTTGAGGGAGACAATAACACTACTTACTTTCATAGGATTGCCAAAATCAGAAGCATTAATAAGAAGACCGACTTTGTCAGAGATAATAACTGGATTCTTTTGGAGGTTAGAGATGAAGCAACACAATGGTAAAATTCATTACCAATTTTTTATTAGAGAGGCTTTCTACATGAATAAGTTGGATTTTCCGAATTACATATTTACTTGATCTTCAACTTTGAGAATTGACGGTTTGTGGATAGAGGGTCAGATCTTACCTGCATGTACATATTTTTTAATTTTTGTACAATTGGTTAAAAAAAACCTTCTATTTTTTTAAACAAACATGCATCACCCTAACTTGTTGGATCTAAGAACATCTGTTTAAAAAACACACCTCTTCAGATATATGATCAAGTGACACATATATTATCCAATCTGTTTGGAAATGTTTTTTCTTCTTTTTTATTACATAAATTGGAAGGCATTTTTGGTTGGCTACATACATACATGATTTTTGCATGTTTGAATATGACAACGCAATCTGGTGAGTGGTAATGTACATGCGACAGACATAATGGTAATGGTCATGACTGAGCATGGCATTGGCCACTGTATGTACGTTACTCGTTTTTGAAAAAGTTAAGTAAACTACAAAGAAATAAAGCCAATTGAAAAAAAAAGCAAAAGATGAAACTATATAAGATTTTGTTGGCCAGAATTACAGGAAGAAAGTCATTCCAAAATCCAAATTAAAACTGTTTATTTCTTTTTCCCTTTTAACATCCATTCTAATGGCAACAAAGTTAATATATTCAAATAAACTGCACAAGAAATTAGCTGTTTATGAAAATGATATGTCATGGGATACAGTTTCTAGTCATGATTATTTACAGACCACATCTATGTTTGTTTGTGTCCTTCAAATAAATCTCATGTATAGTTGTGTGTTTCAGTGTAAGGACATGCAGATATATATAAATTATACAAATTATAAAAGGATCAAATTTACATGTAATAGTATAAAATTATGGAAAAAATTAATTGAACGGAGGTTAAGAAAAAAGATTTATGTCGCGCTGAGAATCAATTTGATTTTATATTTGAGAGATTGACCATGGAAGCAATTTATCTATTATGACGTGTGATGAAACTGTATTAGATGGGCCGATAAGAGTTGCCCTTAATTTGTAGTGACTTAGAGAATACGTATGCTGAAGTGTCTGGAGAGATTTTGTATAAAGATCTAGAGGAGAAAGAGGTTAAGATTGCATATATTCGTGTTATTTAAGATATGTATGAATTTATATTGACTAACGTGCGAATACAAGGTTGAGAGACGGACGACTTTTTTATACAATAGATTTGTATCAAAGTTCAATCTGAATCTCCTATCTTTTTATTTTAATTTTGGATGTATTCACGAAACACATCCAAGAAGGTAGCATCGAGATGCATGTTTTTTGGAGATGATATAATTTTACTTTGAGAATCAAAAAAGAATTTAAATGAGAGGTTGGAAACTTAGAGATGAACCTTAAAAGAACATGATTTTCACCTAGACAGAAGTAAGACAAAATATATAGAATGTAAGTTTAACAAAAGAATAAATATTTTTAAGTAAAAAATGAAAGTTGGAGGTCATATAATCTTACAAGTCTTGCCGTTTTAAATATTTTGGGTTACTAATACAATATAATACAATATAATGGAATAAAAGGGGAAAGTAAACCATTAAATTCAAGTTAGGTGACTGAAATGAAAGTTGGTTTTAGAAATTTTATGTGACACAAAAGTACTTCTCAAGCTTAAGGAAAAATTTTATCGGACAGTGGTAAGATCTACGGTGTTATACGAAATAGAATGTTCGACGGTTAAAAATCAATACGAGAATAAAATAAGTGTATCATAGATAAATTAGGTGGTTTAACCACGTAGAGAGAGATATGTAGATTCTGTGATAAGAAGAACATATTAAAATTAAAGAAATTAAAGAAGGAAAATCTATAGAAGTTATTTAAAAAAATCTCAAAGATCTAAAAAAATTATAAAAGTAGTTATTTAAAAAGATTTCAAAATTAATAATTTAGATAGAGATATAGTTTTAATCAAGGTAGCCGACACTAAATACCCTATTTAGTGTGATTAGTGTCGTAAGATTCCATTGTTGGTATTGTATAGTGATGTTTTTCACCCCAATTTACCACATTCTTTTTAAATATACTAAATATGTTTAGACCAGTAAATAATATTTCTTATTATAGAGAAAGATGTCATGTATAATATTTGTAACCGGTTATATTACTCTGTTTAGTGGACCTAAGAAAGAGGTCCCTGATTGGTAGAAAACATGTTTGGAGTAGAAATGAAAAAGCAGAAAAAAGTGGTTAAAGTGGTCACTGAACTTGGGGCGGGTATCTCTTTTGAAAACATAACATAGCATGGCATCAAAAAAACAGTAACAAACCCACGTTCCTATTTAACAACCAAACCGGTTTTGGTCTCTTTCTTCTCTTAAAATTCACAAACCTTAACCAAGTCAAAAGTTCCAACATAAAAATAGAAACCAAACAATGAAGTGGGGTGGAAGAAAAACCTCTTCAGCTTCATCTTCTTCTAAGCCTTCCTTTATCTCTCATGTATCTCCTTTTACATGGCTGTCAAAGTTCAAGCAGATGAAAATCAACTCAGACTCGGAGACGAAACCTGAAAAGCCGAAGCAGAACACCCCATCTGATGATACTTCATCACAATTTCCTCATGGGAATAGAGGCAGGTTTCATCCAGGTGATGATGATGCTTTCTGGAGATTGTCATTTGGTGAAGAGGTTGTTAATGAGCAAAAGAAGAAAAGTGAAGATATTATGAAGCCAATCATGTATAATTTGGAGGCTAAAAGAAATGGAAGAAGAAGAAGAAGACAGGATAGAAATTTGATGAATGAAACAAAGAGTGCAAAGGAAGTTGAATACTTAAAGAAGAGATATGAGAAAAAAGCAGAGAGAGTCTTACAAGATCAGCTCTTGAAATTACGGAATGCAGAAGAGGAAGAACAATTTGCATCAAGTAAATGTAAATCCTTAGAAAAGGATGAGCTTCGGTTCGAGTCACCAAGAACCCGTTTCTTTTCCTCTTATGTAGATGCAGAAAGTTCTAACCTTGGCCTTGGAAGTATCAGAGAAAACGGTGTGAAACAATGTGACGAGTTTAAAGCGAAGGGTAACAAAAAGAGGGAATCAGTTCATGTGAGCAGAGAGCTTCAGAGGAGGAAACCAAAGCAGAGCTCCAAGGTAAGAGTGCGTTCTCCAAAGATGGCTACAAAAGTTGAAATCTGCAAAATAAAGACAATAGAAGATAAAAAGAAAGCAAAACTAAAGATGAAGAAAGAAGAAGAAATTGTAGAGGAAACAGAACAAGGTTTAGATAGCTTTGCTGTTGTAAAGTGTTCTTTGGATCCACAACAAGATTTCAGAGATTCAATGATTGAGATGATCAAAGAGAAACAGATAAGTCAGCCAGAAGAAATGGAAAAGTTATTAGCATGTTATTTGAGTTTGAATTCAAATGAATATCATGATTTAATTATCAAAGTGTTTAGGCAAGTATGGTTATGTATGAGCCAATCTAGTTTGTGTACTAAACCAGACAAGCAATGTTGTTACTATGATTAACAAATAACAACATTTTGTTAAGAATTGTAAATGGTTAATCTTGTTCTAGTTGTTATAATCTAATTTCACTATTCTCATCATAGACTTTGCACAAGAACAAGTTTTTTGTGCATGCAAATCTGTATAGTACTACCAAATTGTTTGCATTCAAATCATGGATGCTAAAGTTAGGAACTTAGGATGCTTGTAGTAGTAGGATTTTATCAATATCTTTATTCTTACGCAAAAAGGCTAAAGTACTAGTGAGAACCAGAAGTGAAAGCTATATTAATATTCCAAAAGTAGAATACATGAATAGTTTGAAAAAACATCAAAATCATTGTGAACCAGAAGCTACTACATATTTTAGCTTCTATGAATTACAGTGAAAAAGCTCTAAATTCAAGGTGTCAATTTTCCACCACTCAACCAAACACCCTAAGAAATTGTTGTTGGCATATCACAATCATCTTGGATAAGGTTGGCCATACCATTTCTGGTCCTCTAAACCTTTAAAAAAAATGATGAACAGTCTGTAATTAATAAACACACTATGTATGGCAATTGACATAATCTACAATATGGGAAAAATTGTAGAGTTAAGAGTACTCTAATAAATATGATAACTAAATTTAGAACTTTTATCCTATTCCTATCAGATGCCAGAGTCATCACCTCATTAGGCTGTGTTTGATTACAATTATAAATTATAAAAGTCAAGTTTTCGTTGAAAAGTATTTTTAATTTGTTTGAATAGACTCATGTAGAAACACTTTCTTTTGTTGAAAAAATGCATTAAAAGACACAAAAACTGATTATCAAATAAATATACTTGTATAGAAGCACTACTTTCTCAATACTGCCAAGTCATAGCATATTTTGGCAACTTAAGAAAACCAATAATGAGACTCAAAGTTGAGAAGAAGACAACTAAAAAGGTCTAATAAGCCTTGAATCTGTAAAAGATTAAAATGACTAAAAGAAGAGTTGAATTTCCAAGAAGAATGGGAAAAATAAAAAATCATTAATCGAATGTAAAATAAAACATATCACAATCGTGCTTTTTTCTTGTTTTACAGCAATGGCGGGTGATCATCTCACAGTTGCAGGCAATCCAAGTTTAGACCTTCTATTGAAACCGTAAAAACGTACAGAAGTGGATTCATTCATGAGCAAAAATAAGTGAAAAAGGCGACAAGAACAGAGGTTTAAGAGGAATGAATAAAAAAATTCACTATTATGATCACAGCCTTCCATTAGTAACTAAAATCTGAAATATTATGCAGAAACTCAGAAAATATTCGAACTGTTTAAAGCAGACCACTAGTTTTCCTGAACTCATTATAATTTCCTGCATAAGCATTGAACTGCCGATTACAACACAAGAAATGAGTGACAATTTAAAGAAGTTTCGACAGCATGAAGGCAACAAAGTCGCCTTTTATATTTAGATCAAAGGACTTTCTTTTCTTCATATTAACTGCACTATGATCCCAAACTCTAACACCCAATATTTAATAATTAATGTTATACTTACGTACAAAGCAATTGAAAAATTACAACCCAGACTTAGAAGCTATAACAGAAGTATGCATACTTAATAACCTTTTAAGCAAATGAAATGACACAAATTAAGAGAAGAAAACAAATTAAGTCCAGTAGGTTTGTTACCTGGATGACTGTGTCTATGGCATCAGAAGCCCCCAATAGTTCAATCAAAGCACAAATCGAAGCATACAACAGGAAGAAAAAAAATATTCAATTAAAACCCATCTTAGAGATTTAAAAATGATAGAAAACAACACAGAAGCAAAGATTCAATAAGTATTTGCAGCTACACTTAAGCTCAAAGAATAACAAAAATATCAAGATTATTTTAATTTTCGCAGTTCAGACAGTCAAGAGAATCTAGGGAGCTTTTCAAAATAATATGAATTTCCCTAATTGTTCACAGGTTCGTTTTTTTAAGTGCAATTCCGAATGGCTCACAGCCCGATTTGATTTTCAGTAAAACTTTGAACAGCCTTAGCTACATCGTGTGGTTTTGACAAAATAGATAAATAGAGAGGCATAATCATCGAAAACGTGGAATATGTATTTTATTGCAGAGAAAAGCAATGCATGCCAATGTTTATTACAAGTAATTGTGAGGCATCACAACCAGAAGAAATAATCAATAGCTACTGAATTTTCTCTACTTGACCAACATTCCCCATCTGTTCCGGAAGAGTATTCGCTTTCCCCATATTCCACCAAAATCTTCCGTGACCACTAGGTTTTCCTTCATTTTTTCTGCTATTATTATTATCCTTTCTTTCTGATTGTACTTCCTGTGCTTCTGCCGCACCAGGATCCTCTGTCAAAAACTGTTCCCAGAACACATCATTAACCCCGGTTGCTGCAGTGGTGATTCCTACAGGCTGTTCTTTTAATGCAACAGTCTCAGGAGGAGGAGCAGCTGGTTCGGAGTTCATGTCAATTTCAGGTGACTTGGATCGGATTTCAGCTTCTAGTTGCCGACAAGATATAGACAAACTATCAGCACAGCTTGTAGGTTCATCTAAATCAATGTCTGAGTGAGAGTGAACGAAGTTGTCACCGATTTCGTTTGCAACTGTTTCCCAAAATGCCACGGATGACTCAAGTTGATCCAATTTCTCAGAGTTTAATGTCAAAAGTGTGTTGCCCTCTGCAATTTCTCTGGGTAAAGCTACAGAAGTTTCCATACCATCTTCCTCCACAATAGCTTCATTATTAACACGTCCACTTCTCGCCGGCAACCTCCGCTTTCTATCCATTGTTTCTGTCAGTGGCAAGAGATTCACAGCAACCGCAGGTTTCTGCAATACTTGAGAAACAGAAGACAACATCTTTTGTTGCTTTTGTTCTAACTTTTCCAACCGTTCTTTTGAGCAATGTATTTGGATCTCATATGTTTGCCACTCATGTTGGTATCTATTTATCTCCATAAGAAGCTGTTCTCTATCATGTTTCATTTTCTCTATTTCATCATTCAAACTCTGCCTTTCAGATTCCGATAGAGGAGCTTGTGCTTGAAGATTATGCAGCGAATGACTATGAACTGGCTTCCGTCTATGGATATTCTTCATAAGATGCGGTTGCCCCTTTACAAAATCATCATTGGCAAATTCCCATTGCTCTGGATCAACTTTCCTAAACCCCTGCACATACATATACTATGAATAAGTTCAAGCAACCAAAAAGCACATCGAGGAAATAATGACAAACCAAGAATTCACATCAACGATTACAACAACAACAACAACATCATCATCAAATTTGCTTACATATGTATTCAGCTGCCTGATAAAACTGGAGAAGTTATTGTGCTTAAAGAATCTCGGGAGCAAAACCCTCGAAAATTCCGGGGGATTCCATACGACAAAACTTTTGTTACTCATACTCCAAGAAACAATAGGATCCGAGGAATGATCATCCACCATCTCATAAGTCTTTGCCAGAAAAGGAGGCAAACTTGAACTTCCCTGTGCCTCATCCATCACTCAAACCCCAAAACCTAATAAATTACCAATCTTTCAAAACAAAAATCAAACCCCAAATCACCTTATATATTCTAGAACAACCCACAAAGTAAAAACAAAAACAAAAAAAGACTTAATTTTCCATTCCCTTATCGAACCTAATCAAAACCCCCAAAAACCCTAATAGCCAATAATTACAAAAACACCGAACCCTAATCCCAAATCAGAATACTCCACAACCCTTTAACCAAACTATAACCCATAAAAAACATCAAGATCACAAACTAGATAGGTCAAAGTTCAATTTCTCCCAAAATCCCCCAAAAAAACCAAAAGTATCGTAAATTTCACTTTCCAAACAAACCTAACGTATCACTTTTCTTTCCCTAAGTGGATAAACTTGGACGTAAAGCAACAATAATTGAGAAATTAGATAGAACAGAAAACAAATTACACGTGGAAGAAAAAAAACAACGGTGCTAACGTTGTTGGATCTTTGCACAACAAAGGTAAAAGAGAGGTTAAAAGTATCAAAGAGAAGAAAATTCTTGTTTGCAGTTTAAGGGTTTTGTGAATCGAATTATTAGGTTCTATTGTTCATCGTTGAAACGCGTAGACAATCTTTCTACACAGCGTTTTGTTTTCTGCGTAACATTGTTCGTGAGCGCGAGGTCAACGTAAACGTTGCGTTGATTTTTCGCAAAAACTGTAACATTAAAATAGAGTTTAATTACGTTTCTATTTTTTTTTTTATCGTGATTAATTGTATGTTTTTTCTTGATAGAAAACATTATATTTTATTAACAAACTGTTAATCTAGTAAATAGAATATTAATATTTCATTAATTTAGTCTTAAATTATCAAAATCAATGTTTCTTTATTATAGTATAAGTTAGTTTCATGAGAATCTTCCACAAGTTTAAAATATCAAAAGGTTGATTTTATCTAGGAAACTATAGGATCATTTCATCTAGTTTTTCAATTTCTTTTAAACCAATAAAATGCTTGCGTGTATGCATATGCTTACAACCACAATGTGATGATAAAAAATGAAATTATAATCGAATTTTATTAGGACAGCTAAAAACTATTAAAATCAAGATAATTAAAATCCGATAAAAGATTAAACTGACGTAATATAATAATTTTTGTTAAATTTTAATCCATCGGTTATAATAAAAAAATTTATGAGTGATTAATAAGTAAACATTTTGTAAAATGTAATTATAAAATAATTATTAAAAAAATTATAACATGCATATTATTTTTAGTATAAAATTTGATTTTGTGTATAAAAATAATTGGATTTAATAATGAAGGCTTAAAAGTCCATAAGAAATATTTTTTAAGGGGTTTAATAACAAATTTAAAAGATGCTTTATTTTAATTTTAACTTTAATAAGAAAAAACTTACGTATTTGTTTTTGCTTTTATAATGGTGTATATAATATAATTTTTTGACATTTTAGATAAATTCACTCGAGCCATTGAAAAGAAAGTCCAAATAATTAATATATAATACTATTATCCCTAAGTTCACTTTATGAAATCTAAAAGTTAGCCGCCACTTATTCTTTCATTCTATATTTTTTTTCAAATATATAAGTATGAGGAAGATAAAAGATTTTGGATATCTAATTCGATTAAACCGGTTTATTTTTATTTAGAAAGTAATTCTCTAATTTATATTTATAAAAATTATTATAAAATATTAGAAATGAGTTAAATAAAATTATTTCTCAAGTCTTTCAAGAATAAAGAATATTTTATATTTTAAGTGTTTTTCAATCTCTGCAACTCTATATTACTTCATTATATTACTTAATTGATGGCCTCTCACCCAAATAATTTATACGAACACATTAAATTTTGACATTTCATGTGAATGTTAAGCTTAATTTTATCTCCAGAGTTTAGTCTTTAACATATGAGTATTTTAAATCTAAATTTAAAGAGTATTTCTCAATAACAAGTTAATTAAACTATAATAGACATTAAATCAAAAAAAACATTAATACGAATGAATAACTAAAATATATATAACATCATGATCAAAAGTGATATAGCAAAATACAGTAAATTACATCTAACCCCAAAAGAAGAGAGTTTAGCTACACATTATCATGATAGCAATACAAAAGAAAAAAAGGAAGTGAAATGACATCAGAAATGCACCAAAAAGTCAAGATATGTCCAATCTCAGAACCACACAAAAACACATTAAAAAAAAGATTTCAATGTCTGGATTTTCTATGGGTGATGATGCATGAGTTGCATATCATAGAACATTTGCATTTAGGTCATACTTTATGGTTATGGTCGGCACTTGTATATGTTTAGACAAAAGTGAGACTTATGTTGACGTTGTCTACATTAAATATTTCATTGACTTCGAGAAAATTCATAAGTATAATTGAGTGGCAACTTATTTGGTTCATCTCTAATCCAAGTTAGCTAAATCTAATTTATGGAAGATGAGACATATGACAACTAACAATTGTCTATTTACAATAATTTTTTTACATCGTTACTAATATTAATTACATTATAACCTGCAACACTCTTATTAATATTTCATATGAACTAATTTTAGACATGGATTCACCACCATTTTCTAACTCTCTCCAACTGAAAATATGTTGAAGACGACTATGAGGAATTTCCACGTGTTTGCTTTATAATCCTACTCAAGGGGAATCCGGCGACCGAGTAGTTCTGAGATTCTTTTTATCTTGATGATATCTATTTCACGTTGTACATGGTATACCCATTGACCACACAGTTTTGTTTGTCTACCACTATCCTCCACAGAGATATTAATGGGATATTTGTGGAGTATTATGAGCATCTAGTCCTAGAAGATATATGTCGTGTCTAGCCTAAGAGAATTAGTTTAAGTCTTGACGGAAGGCTTGATAGAAGTCTCGCCTGAGAGGTTCAACCTTCCTTGAGTGACTTATAGTCTAACCATCCATGTTATGCATAACTTCACCTAAGGGACATGTAGTCTCATCAGCCAGGATACATATAACTTTTCTTGAGGGACTTAGGTTTCCCAGGCTATCTGAGCTTCTCGCCTAAGAGACTTGGAGTTTTCTAGGGCGGTACCAAACATATAAATCTTGCCCAAGAGGCACGATTTAAGTCTATATTAAAATACTTAGTTTAATTCTTATCTAACGGCTTGATGAAAGTCCCACCTGAGAGTTTCAGTGTCTCACCTGAGAGACTTGTAGTCTCATCATCTAGGCAATACATAATTTCGCCTGAGGGACTGACATTTCCAAAGATATATAAACTCCCCGCTTGAGAGACTTGGATTTTTCTCGGGCGGGACCAAACATATAAATCTTGCCCGAGAGGAACGGATAAACTCCAACCTAAGAGAATTAGTTTAAGTTTGACTAAGAGATTAATAAAAGTCTTGCCCCGAGAGGTTCAATGCCTCACCTGAGGGACTTGCAGTCTCATCATCCAGAAAATGCATAACTTCGAATGAGGGACATGTAGTCTCATCAGCTAGACTACACATAACATCACCCGAGGGACTGATATTTACTATGTTATCAAAGCTCCCCGCCTAAGAGGCTTGAAGTTTCCTCGGGCGGGACCAAACATATAAATCTCACCCAAGAGGCGCGACTGAGATCTAGCTTAAGAGACTTAGTTTATGTCTTGTCTAAGGGCTTGATAGAAGTCCCTCCTAATAGTTTCAATGTCTCACCTGAGGGATTTGTAGTCTAATCAGTCAGGCTATACATAACTTCTCCTAAGAGACTAGGATTTCACAGGATACTTAAACTCCTCACATGAGAGACTTGAAGTTTCCTCAGGCGCGACTGAAGTCTTACCTAAGAGAATTAATTTATTTCTTGATAGAGGGCTTGATAGAAGTTTCGCCCAAGTGGTCTAACGCCTCGCCTGAGGGACTTGTCATTTCATCATCCAGGCTACACATAACTTTGCATGAGGGACTTGTAGTCTCATCAGCCAGACTACACATAACTTTTCCCGAGGGACTAAGATTTCCTAAGTTATCTAAGCTCCCTGCCTGAGAGAATTAAACTTTTCTCGGGCGGGACGAAACATATAAAGCTCGCCCAAGATGTGTGACTAAATTCTAGCTTAAGAGACTCTGTTTAAGTCTTGTATGAGGGCCTGATAGAAATCCCGATTGAGAGGTCCAACGCCTCGCACGAGGGACTTGTAGTCTCATCAACCAGTCTATGCATAACTTTGCCTGAGGGACTGAGATTTCCCAGGCTATTTAAACTCCCTGTCTGAGAGACTTGGAGTTTCACCAGGTGAGGCCAAACATATAAATCTCGCCCAAGAGGTGTGACTGAAGTCTTGCTTAAGAGACTTAGTTTAAGTCTTGTTTACGGTCTTTATAGAAGTTCAGTTTGAGAGGTCCAATATCTCGCTTGAGGGACTTGTAGTATCATCAGCCAGGCTACGCATAACTTCACATAAGGGACTAAGATTTCCCATGCTATCTGAACTCCCCTCCTAAGAGACATGGATTTTCCATGTGTGGGACAAAACATATAAATTTCTCCCAAGAGGCACGACTGAAGTCTAGCCTAAAAGACTTAGTTTAAGTCTTATTTGAAGGCTTGATATAAGTTCCACCAGAGAGGTCTAACACCTCACTTGAGGGACTTGTTGTCTCATCAGCCAAAATACGCATAACTTTTTTTGAGGGACTTGTAGTCTCATCAGTCAAGCACAATGTAACCTTTTTAAGAATCCAAAGTCTTGTTTGTCTGGATCGTCACAGATATCACCAAGAAATTTAGGGGCTCAAGATACTCCTCGTTCTATGGGCTAAAAAACACTTTGTTACTTATCAAAGCCCTCGTTCTTAAGGGATTGTGTAGTGTTATATTTGTATAAGACATTGCAAGGGGAAGATTTGCAGCTCTGGGAGAGGCGACGGTCATGTGTCGCCCTCCAGGAGATATCGCCTTGCCCTAAGTACCTTTCACTCGCTCAAAAAGAGGAAACGTGGGAAAAG